TCTTCTTTTTTTTTTTTTTTTTTAACAATCAAATTAAATGACAATTTTACATAAATAAATGATAGTTTTTGGTACTTTTTTTTTTTCATTATTGATATGAATTAAATTGTTGCAAAAATATTTTCAATTTTTCAACATTTCTCTCTCTCTTTCCTTCCTCCATCCTCACTTCTACTCTATCTCGTAAAAATTTGAGGATTAAAAAAAAAAAAAAAAGGCCGACAATTTATAATGCCATTTGCTGTTGTTCAATTTATCAGCGGGAAAAAGAATTTCTTTTTAGCATCTCTCAAACTCTTTCTTCTTCTCTCCCTTTTTTTTTTCTTCCCTTTTTGCAATCAATTTATGTTACTTCTGAAGAGAGGAAACATTGCTTCATTTTTAATTTTTTTTTGTTCACTACCAAAAGAATACCACCACATTCAATAACTAATAAATTTGGTATGTCTTCGTCAAAGTTCTCTTGGCTTAGTCTTTGTGCTTTTGCGCATATGTATATACATATTTAAATCTGTCAACCATTTTCTTCTTATCCCTCTTTTTAATTCCTTTTTTTTTTCTACATCCCTCCCTCTCTCTCTCTCTCTCTCATTTTTACTCTTTCATTATCCTTTCTCCCTTCCTCTCTTATTAAGCTTAATAATAACAATCATTTATTTTATTTTTTTTCCTTTTACCATTTTATCACCTATCCTTATTTCTTTAAAAAAAAAAAAGAGTATTTAATATTCAATAAAAAAATACTTAATTAAAAAAAAAAAAGACGAATTTTGTTTTAATTGAGGAAACAATGAATTTTGCATTTAATTTCAACAATAGTATTGATCTATTGAATAAACTAAATTACCAGTAGATTATTGAATTGACTGATATGAAATATTTCAAGGTTATTGTCATCTGGCTGGATGTCAATCGTTAGCAGTATCCATGGCTACCAGTTATTTTCCGTAGTTATAAATTTTAATTTCACTGTTGTTGTTTTCTAATATTTTACTACTGAATTACTTTTAAAATATATACTGAATATTTCGATCGTGTTTTTTTTTTTTTTGCTTTAAATTAATTATTATTATATTTAAAATTAGAATAACAAATAATACTGATATTATGCAAAATTAAATCAAATAATATATAAGATAATAATCTCAAATAGTTTATAAAATAATAATATAGTTTAACAAATTTAACAAAATCGATGAATTATTACAATTTTATTCTGTTATAATAAAATGAATTTTGAGACTTACCTCTTTTCTCTCTCCCTTTTTTCTCTTTTTGCTCTAAAAAAAAAAAAAAAAAAAACATATTTTTACAAAAATTTTCGTGAAAAATTTTTTTGAACAAATCAATAAGTTAGTAACACAATAATCCTACGATATAATTCATTATGTCAAATATTTCATACATCGTTTTGCTAAACTTGTTTATAGCAGTTGCTTCTGTTCATTTCAAATATTCAATTTTTGTTTAGACAATTTCGTTTTTTTTTTCTTTTTTTTATCTTCCTTTTTCTTTCCTTTTTTTATTTTAGCAAAAAAAAAAGGAAGAAAAATGAATGTATAACTAAATTTTTCATTTCTTCATTCTTTAATAGGTAGCAAAAAAAAGAAAAAAATCAAGCACTTTTTTTTTTCAAAACAAAAATTTTGCTTTGTAAAACTTTTGTTACATTTTTAATTTGTTAAACAAAAGTTTGCCCTATTCTACATTACAAATTGTAAATTTTTAAAATTTTCGAATAAAAGATAGTAATTGTAAAATATTCAACAACATTGAACAGTTGCTAATAATGTTACTAAAATATTATCACCACAGTTCATAGCTTTCTAAAATTTAATTTAATTTTACAGCACTGTCATAGTGCAATACATAGTACGATATTATAATATATTTAAGTATGAAATAAATGCTTCGTTATAATCTTATCACTTTTCTCACTTCGCAATTTTTCATTATGTTTTTTAAATGATAAATGATAGCATAACAACGTCAATTATCTCATAATATTATTATCAGTGTATTTTCGTACTTGTTTATAGCATTACTGAAATGAAATTCATATTTGAGTTATAATTAAATTTATTCCATTATATTGCATTCATAGCTATTGATAATATTTTTGTCATCACTTTCTTCCTCGTTTTACTATATCGTTTGATTCTTTTGTTGTTGTTGTTGAAATCTTTTTATGGTAAAATTTTTTTTTTAAAAAAAAGAAAAATCGAAGGTCATTGAAGAGAGCAAAGCAGTCATAACACTAAATTTTCATATATCACAGTTTTTTTTTTTTTTTTTTCATTTGATTGGTTAAAAGATTTAGTATCTATCACGAAATCGCATTCCAGTACATATATATTTTACTCATTATTTTATCACTATTTTATTGGTAATTCCCAAGTTTAACTTATATCTATAATTTATAAATAATAATAATATAATAACAATAACAATAACAACAACAACAACAACAAAAAAACAATAATAATAATATTAATAATAATAATAATAATGTAAATAACAATAATAATAATAAAATAATAATAATAATAATGATAATGATAATTCTCTATAATTTATGAATAAAAGGTCGATAATTATGATACTTACGAATAATGAATAGTGTTAATAATGTTGCGTTCATTTAATGAAATACATTATTCACTGTATTTGTTAGTATCATTTTGATTATTGACTTTTCGTGAATTGCAATAATTTATTTCCTTTGTATTTGTCAAATTTTTAAGCTTATCTTTTATTTTTCCTTTTTTTTTTTCAGTTATCGATTTAATTTTTGAGTACTTTTCCAATATTTCATTTTTCTTTCCTTCCTTCTCCCTGCTTTCTTGTCGCTTTTTTTCTTTCTGATATCTATGAAAAAAAAAGAAGAAAAAAAAAGTTTTTTTTTTCTCTCACAAAATCGATAAACTAATTTAAAACATTATTTATTGTATTGTATAATTTAATAAAAATTCGATTCTTTACTTTGATATAATCTGTTGCTACAATGGTTAAAAATTATTACAATTGATAATTAATGATAATTATTATACATATGGCAGCATTAATGAATTATATTTCTTAGCAATATCAGGCATAACTGATATGCTAGAATGAGGTAATTGTTAAATCGATGGATGTGTAAATTTATTTCTCTTTGTGTAACCAAAAGATAAAAATAAAAACGAAGACAAGAAGATGAAGGAAAAAAAAAGGAAGTTTATGTGTCAAAAATTTTCATTCATCAAATTTTTTCTTAAAGATAAAATTACAAATTAATACAATGTGAAACAATTATTTATTTCTATAATATTAATGATTTTGAAACAAAAGAAAAAAAAAAAAAAGAAAGAAATGGTAATATCAAAGAGAATGAAATGCATTGTAAATTTTTATCAAATTTCCGACTAAATCTCTTGAAAGCTTTCTCAAACAAATCAATAATTTGCTTATCCTTTTTAACTAAGCCGAAATTATTTTTCTCTCATCTTTATGCATTAATTATGTGATGAAAAAGGAAGCTATTTGATCATTAGCATCTTTCTCATTTTTATTTTATCTTTAAACGATATCTTATATCCCTTTTTCAATTCCTCTAACTCCTTTTTCTCTCTTTTTTTTCCTGTCATCTTTTCCTGTCACATATGACCAATTCTTTCTCATTCATTTTCCCTTATAAAAGCATGTAATTGAAATAGCCCATCAATCACATTCTACCTCGATTATTCTCTTTTCCCTCATTGAATTTTCAACTAAAATAACCTCCCCTTCAAAACCATTGCTACCATTACTACCATCCATCCCCATCATTTCATCCATTTCAATATTACCATCATCGTTATCATTATCTCATAATCATCATGATCTACCGCAATATCATCGAAATTCGAAATTATTATCAGCTAACAGATTTCATCATTTCTAATTCATCATAACTTTGTAATTTTTTCTCTTCTTCTTCCTTTTTTTTTTTTTTTTTTTTTTTTTTTTGGTTGGCAAGACTATTAGTTATATACTTAGGAAAATATAGGAAACTAACTTTTTTTTTTAAAATTAAGACAATTTCAAATGCAGGCTTCAACTAGGAATGATAATTTAATATGTTCACACTGTGATCTATATTAGATGAAATTTTCAAAAACATATTTACGACAAAATCAATACTGTCACATGAATTATCTCCAGTTTGATTCGTGTGCTATTATTAGCTAATATTTGGAACTCGCAAAGCTCTTCCATTTCCAATTAACAGTCAGTTTGTGGATTTTTCAATATTTATAAGTTTGCCCTTTTTTCTCTTGTAATTTAGTCACAACGCTTTCATTCTTATTAGCATGAATTAAGAAAGTATAGAAAACTTTTTTTCGAAAATAATTTTTATTTAATTTCAAAAGTAATTTTTTTTCCGTATGGAATTTATTCAGCAATTTATACTCATCTAAATTTTAATTTAAAAGTCAATAACAGTAGTATAAATTTGAAGTTATTATTATGATATCTTATTTTGTTTATTGCCATTTTTTTTTTTTGATTTAAAAATTTTTTTCCTCATTCTTTAGAGTTATTATTATTGTTGTATGCTTTTATGATATTACTTATGAATGATAAAATGTTTCCTTTTTTTTTTTTTTTTTTTCATTTTAACTTTTGAATTTGTTTTGTTGTTGTAAACAATGATAATTTCCCACTTGTTTTTTTGTTTTCCACCTTTTCTTGCACCAAATGATTGAAATGATAACATCGATTTATTTGAATCACTGCGCTCTTTTGATATTTTTCCTTTTTTTTCAGATACATAGGTGGTGTGTAGCAGCAAGTCAACAAAATCATATTATCATTATTTCAGAAATTTCTAAACGCTGACAGCAATGTTTGATATTGACCAATTAATATATTTGCATAATACATAATTTTCTTTCTTTCTTCTCCTTTTTTTTCTCCCTCTCTCTCTCTCTCTCTCTCTTTTGCTTTTTTTTTTTTTTTTTTTTAATATTGGAATAATTATGGCATCGGAAATCCTAATCAAAATACTTCGTGCCATTCCACGTTTCACGTTCGATTTTCATCCTGCACCAAAAATATTTACGCTACAATTTGACAGCTATTATGTGCAGGTAATTAATTTGTTTATCGTTTTGTTTTTAATATATTTGTAAATAAACTTTCTAAACATATTTAATACTATTGTAATAATTTAAATAATACAAATATAATTCTTGGTTTATTTGAAATACATATTTTCTAATTTATTCAATGTTAAAATAATCGGTAAAAATTACAGTTAATTTTAATTTTAATTTTAAATAAATTCTTTTTTTTTTTCCTTTTTTCTCCATCTCTCTTGCTCTCATTCTTTTGCTCTTTCTCTGTTTGATAAAACGTTTAGATCAAATATGTTTTCGTCAAATCTTTGATGAATATTGTCATTTTATCATTGCTTGAATTGAATTAAATCGTACAAATCGTAAAGATGAAATAATTTCAAATTGTGTGTAATTCAAATTTTTCTTTGTATTTTTTGATGGTTTTCCTTTGATAGCTTTCTTTTGAATTTAGTTAGAAATATGCTGTTTCTACAGCTATTTCATATCAATCAGATGAACTTCTCTATCTATCATCTAATTTACATTTCATTATTTTCATACTAACTAACATTATCCAATAATTAGTTAAAATATAAGCGTTTTTTTTTTTTTCTCCACCAATTTCAAAAATTATTTCATCTGATCTTTATAACTGATGAATAAATTGTTAAAAAATCTTAAAAATCACATGAATTTATTTATTTTTTTAAAATTTTTCTATACTAATTGAATGAGATAAAGGAGGAAAAAAAAAGGATTTGAAAGAATAATATTAATTCCAATTTTATATGGTTACATTTTCGGGATATACAATATGATTTTCCGGAACAGATAAATGAGAGTGGAATTTGACGTGTATTGCTTGTCGGAATTGATGAGCGAATTTCATTCTGATGATCTATCGTTTATTTGATTCATCAAATATTTTCCTCTCATTTAAGCGTCAAAATTCATTTTTGATGATTGACATTAAATAATGCACAGCAATCGAAACCTTTCGAATATTAACAATCTCGAGAGAAAAAACAAAAAAGAAATTGGTGTTTATTTATTCATTTGCTTATTTAATTAATTTGCTTATTTAAAAAATGAATGAACGAATTAATTAGGTAACTGATTAATTGACTAACTAATTAATTTTTTTATTTAATGAGTGAATAAATAAATGAATTTACTTATTTATTCACTTATCTATTTATTCGTTTATTATTGTTTATTTGTTTATTGGAATTAGTTATTAATTTAAATTTGTTAAAATTTACGGCAAGTATGAAATTTTATTTCCAATTATGAGGGAACATATCTTTTTTTTTTTTTTTTTTTTTAAATAGTTCTTCAGCGATACACATTTGTTACAATTGAATACATTTTTATTTAAATACTTAAAAAGCAAAGATAGCAAAGGTCAATTTACTCAATTTTCACTTAAAATAATATGTACGAGCAGTAAATTTATTGTAAATTTATAGATTAATAACTATTTATTAATGATTGTTGATCATTTATTATTTCAATTCATATTGCAAAAAAAAAGAAAAAAAAAAAAGAATAAAAACATTACATTTTAACATTTGTAGCAAATTTTTCAAATACTTCAAAAAAACAAAAAAACAAAAAAAAAAATTGATGTTTTTTAAAACTGTTGCTATTAATCAATGGCTTAGTTTTCTTTTTCATTTTTTTTTTCAATAGTTTATAATCTTTTCTTTTTTCATTCTTCCTTCAATACAGATTACACCAATTCATGATTTAAATGGCTTTTTTTTTTTTTTTTTTCCCATCTCCAAGGAGAAAAAAGAAGAAGCATCTAAATTGGCGAAAGATTTTATGCCATTTACTAAGCACTAAGGCTCGACTAAAGATCAATCTGAAAGAAAAACGAAGCAATTTTCCATTCTACTTGAATGATTAAACTTAAATTTTTTCCTTATTATTGAAGAATTAAAAAAAAAAAGCAAAGAAAAACAAAACAAAACAAAACAATAAACACATATTTTATTTATGCATTCAAAATATATTTTATTCTTTTGTTACATTTCAAATATTTGTATAATTTTATTTAAATGATTTAATTTTAAATTTATTTAGTTTTCGTCATTAAGTTATAATTTTTATTTTCTTATTTTTTTTTGGTGAAATTATATATTTTATTGATATTATCAATTTGATTTAAAAAAAAAAAACAATTTTATATTTCATTGTTTTACAAATATTAAATGTTAGGTCTTTCTCTCTCTCTCTCCTTATTTTTTAAAAATTATGAAAAATTTTTTTAAATATTAATTTAATTTCAGTCATTATTTGTTATCGCTGGTGTAATACTTTTCATTGGTGCGGCATTATTGTTGACAATTACCATAACATGGATTTGTCAATGTTGTATCAGACAAGACACCAATGTAAAATCCAGGCGACGAGTTCGTCAGCTTTCACTCCTATTATTTATCATTAGCATTATATGCTTGTATGTTTTATCACTAACTTTTTCTTTTATATTAAATTAAAATTAAAAAATAAATTCTTTTTCTTATAATTTTGATTGTTTCGTATCATGAGATGAGAAAAAATAAAAACTCTAAATTTTTCATAAATTAAGCAATTAAAAACTTTTAGTTTTTATTTTTAATTTCTTACTTTTTTTTCTAAAGATAAATTTCGAATTGAGTAATTGTGTAAATTTTTTAGCTTTTGTCTTGGAATATGCTTATTTGGTAATGAACATTTGAATCGTAGCATAATGAGTTCAATTACCAGTGCTGAAGATATATCACGGAATTTGGTATTTGCTGATTCGCAGGCTTGTTTATTTATTTATTTATATATTTTTTTTGAACGATATTAATAAAATATGTCTTTCTTTTTTTTTTTTTTTTCATTAATGTTTGAATTATTTCAAACATGATTAGTTATTTATGAAATTTTTTGCTTCAATTTTATTTTTATTTATTTTTAATTTGTTGAATCAATGATATTACAATTCTTTTTATGGTGTATCTTATGTTCCATTTTATCATGAATATAGCTGATTGATCATAGAATTAAATAACAATTAAAAATATTAATTCTTAATAATTTTTTATGAAATATTCGATTGAGAGTTAATGAAAAATAATTGATTATTACATATCATTCATTCAAATTAAATCATGCATAATTATTTATTTCGAATTTTACATGTGCTTTTTATTTTATACGCCTTAAAAATCTACTCAAATAATTCATTTTTCATAACTAAAAGAGGGAGAGAGAGAGAGAGAAAGAGGGAAGAAGCCAAAAAAAAAAAACAGCATTAATTATTATCTTATTCTCCATATAAAGTTTACACATCTTTTGTTCTTTTTTAATTTTTTAGTCAGTTTTATTAAATGACTATTGTTTGAAAACCATTAAACAAATCGATGCATTATCAGCAGCTGCGGAAAGTGTAGCAGAAAAAACGACAGATTTAAACAAAACGGTTAAATCTATATATATATATATATATATATTTTTTGAACTTTTTCATAAATTGATGTTTAAAAAAATGAAGAAATGTTGCAAATATTTTTTATTATTCTTTTTTTTTCTTCTCATTTTCATCACTGTTTTTTTTTTTCTTTTTTTAAAGGCTTTACATGAATTTATAACAATATTGGATTCTGTGTCGCAAAAAGTTGATTTATTGGGCATAGATTTAACTTTTCTCAGGAAAGTATTATCAGGGAATGTATTTTTTGAGCGTAGTTCACTCTATACGCAACGAATTGAGCTAGAAAGGTAATAAAAAAAGAATTTTTTTTTTTTTATTTTTATTCTAAAAAATTACATTGCAATTTGTATTAAATTTTATTTTATTTACTGATTGGAAAATATTAATAATTTTGATGTTAAAATAGAAGAAAAAAGTACAAAAGAAAAAAAAAAACTTTTCATTTATGTATTTGAATTTATTGGCTATGTTAAAATAGAAGAAAAAAGTACAAAAGAAAAAAAAAAACTTTTCATTTATGTATTTGAATTTATTGGCTGTATTTCATCAACTGAAAATTAAATATTATTACTATTATTATATTGTATTCAGATGGGTTCTATGTGCAACTTTACTTTCAATTATGCTGATCGTACTTTTTGCTGGTGTCATTGCATTTTGTCGTCAATCGAGAAAAGGCGCAGTGGTATTTTCTGGTCTTGGCTTTGCAATTTTTATTGTTGGATGGTTATTGCTAGCTGCCATATTTCCAGCTTCTATGGTTTATAATTTTTTTTTTTTTTTTACACTGATTTCTTAAATTTTATGTATTTTTTTTTTTTTCATAAAAAATTTGTTTCTAAGATTTATTCGTGAATTTTGTGAAAAAAAAAGGCAAATTATTTTTTTTTTCTTTATTTTAAGGCATTCGTAGATTTTTGCGCAGATGGTACTCAATTCATCCGGGAATATATGTCAGATGAAGCTATGGCACTGTTTGAATTTTATCGAGAATGTAATCCAACAATGAGTCATGATAATTTGCCAAGTGTAATTCATATGGATAAAATTGGTGCGCAACTTTCGGATATACAAGAAATGAGCCAAAAATTTGATACCCGAATTGAAGCTCTATTCAATGCTAGTAGTAGAGAAACAGTTGAGGTAAGCAATTAATTTATACTTTCCTTTATTGTTTTTTTTTTCTAGTTTTAATTAAATAATTTCAATTAAAATAGAGTTAAAGAAAAGGAGAGAAGGAATAAATAGACTGTAAATAATTGTTGATTCAATTTTATTGCACAAAATTTTAGATTCAGGTTGTTTTATTTTGTTTGTCTAATAAATTGTCAATTTCAGCTCTTCGAACAGGTTAAGATAATTAATGATGGCATAACAGTTGCATTAAAAAGTATAGGTGCTCTTGAAACAACCGTTTCATGTTACACTTATCACAATGACATATTAACCATGGAACGCAGTTTTTGCATCGATGGAATGTAAGTAATACTTAAATAATTATTAAAGTATTTAAAAAATCAAGAATAGAATTTTTTTTTTTTCGAAACATTCATTGAAACGGTGCAAATTGATGTTTTCTAATCTAAATGCTTTTTTTTTTTTTCACTTTTACAGCATTGGATCATCCATTATGTTGTATTGTTTAATATTACTTGAAGCATTCTTATTCACACTTTTACTTATCGTATCCAAAAGTTGGCACTTATTTGCTCGATTGTAAGTATTTCTATGATTTGAATACAATTTTGAGAATAAATTGAAACAATTTTAAAAGTAAATTAAAAGTAAAATAAATTAAACATATATGAGTTAAACTTTCAATGAAATTAGCTTAATATAATTGTCTCAAGATTATTTCAAAAATGTAATAATGTAATTGATGAATTAAATTTATCAATAATATTTCTTATCAAATGATTAAATGAAAGCAAAATTTTAATTCAAATACTTCAAATTTTGTATTTTAGACCATCAGATTACGTAGAAGTAGACGAGGAGGATCCGTTTTTTCCACGAGGAAATGACAGTACAATTCCAGTAGACATTTATGGCAGTCACGTTTTGAATCCACGAACACGTTTCGCTAACTCTTTGTAAATTTTATTTATTACATTGTTTTCTTTTTTAAGAATTCATAAGTTAGTTTATTTACTTTATTTTTCAGAGACCGTACGGAGCAATCTACCGGAACAACAAGTGCAACATGCGGTCTTACAAATGGTTCCATAATAAATAATCATACATCTGCTTCAACAGCATTACTGAATTCGAACGCTGAATCATCAACACCACCGTGGCATCGCGGATTAACTTCACAATCATCCGCCGCTAATGCTCCGCCTGCGGTAGGAACGAGCAGGTTCTTATAGCGTAACTATCACTTCAAAGTGATTCACTTATAAACAATGTTGAAATTTGCAATTGCTATTTTAAAAATGAATTCCATTAAATATTTTAATTCATATACAATTTTTCTCTCCTTTTTTTTTCATAAATTTTACTCATTTTTTTTTTTTTTTTTTTGATATAATTTTAATAATTTAACAATAAATTTAATAATTTTAATAACAAATTAATTAATTGATTAATTTGCAGTATGATGCATACGGCATATCAAACAAACACCGATGAAGCAACATACCAACGTCGTAACTATCATGAGCAATTTGATGTTTAGCTTCAGGAAATTTTCATTTTTATTCCAAACATATTTATTTTTTCTTTTTATTCTTTTAATTTTAAATTATTATCATAGATAGAATTCATTTAATTATTCCTTTGTATTCCTACAATGCATTTATTTCACACTTTTTAATAATTTTCAAGATATAAAAAGAAAGAAATAAAAACAGTAATAACAATATCAAAGTGTGAAATTAAATTGTTCAATAAGATAAGATAGTACTTCTAAAATATATCTAAATTTTGTAATTATTATTACTTTTTCATATTATGCATAATTTTCATAACAAAAGAATTCTACTTTTATATGTATATATATATATTTTCTTGTTCTTTTGAGATAAATGAAATGTTCAATTATATTTGTTTGCAACTTGAAGATTATTTAAAATTGTACTTCATTTTCATCTTTCCTACTTATTTCATTCCTTTGTTTCTTTCCTTTTTTTTTCTCTCTCTCTTTTTTTTTTTTTTACATCTCTGCAATTTTGCTAGTATTGGCAAAAATTTAGCTATTCATAAATCATTTATTATCATTTGGATTATTTATTTTTCAAGAAATTATTTCAATAAAATTTCATAGAAATTAAAAAAAAAAAATTCAGGAAATTTTTTCCTATTATTAATTATTACTAACAAATTATTGCTCAGACTCAAATTATTAGCCATGTACTAATATTTATGTATTTATTTTTTCCTTTTTTCAAACCCTTTTTCTTCTTTAATTTTTTTTAATTAAGTCAATATTTAATATTAAAGGACTTTTTTTTTTTTTTTTTTTTTTGCATTATCACATTATTTTGCAATTTAATTTAATATTCCTGTGTCATTTTTGTCTAACGGAGTAAAGTTATATTGCTTTATTAAACTTAATTTTCTTTTAAAGATATATAAAGATAAATTAATACATGTTGCTATTCTTAAAATTGAATTCTTTTCTTGTTGGATGACAATTTTCAATGAATTTTCAATGAAAATTACAATGTGCTATCTTTGACTAAATCATATTAATTTCAAATTTAATAATTAAATTTTACATGGTTACATAGGAATTCCATTTAATCTTTATTCAAACATAAACAATGAAGAGAAAAAAAAGTGTACACGACAGATAATGTGTAATTTTTAAAATAAATAAAAAATAATTCATTTAATTTAGAAAAAAACTTTATCATATAAATAAATTAGATCAAATCACATATATTTTCTTTTCATTTTTTCTTTTATTAATTATTTCTATAATATGCCTTCCTAGGAGCCATATTTAAATTTTCATAATAATATTAAGTTGAAAATGAATTTTTTTTTTTTTTTTTTTTTTGGCAGTATTAGTTAATATGAAAAAAATTTTTTCTTAGGAAAAGTTATAAATTTTACCAAAAAATATCCATTCATTTTATACATTTATCATTGCATTACTTTCATTTTTTTTTATTAACATTTTATTTTTATCAGTTTTTAAATCACTAATACAGCTACAGCTATAAAATATGTATCTAAAATTTTGATCTTTAGCAACAAACATAAAATATAACAGATCTAGTGATAACAAATTTAATGATGATAGCAATTAAAATGATCATTATTTTATTCATGGCATTATACATTCCTATAATATTCATAATAATAATGATAATAGTAATAATACTATTAGTAATAATAATAATAATAATGTTAATAGAAAATATCATCTAATGATTGTTTTATGGAAATTACTACAACTATCAGAAAAAAAAAAACAGAATTACAAATTTTTAATATTTCACATTCTGAAAAAAAGATATCATTTAATTTATTCATCTTGGATTAAAAAATATTTGCAAAATACGTGAAATATCAGAAAATAAATTGCTAGTTGGTCGACCAAATGTTTGAAGAGTTCTTGGAAGCTCTTTGAGAATAACACGTTCCCAGGTATTATCAATACCATTTTCAGCTCCAATTAATCCCGTTATTCCACCATATCCTTTCCATTGTGCTGGTGGTGCTTTAGGTAATGGATTTGATGTAGTATCTAAAATAATTAATTCAAAAACTTGAATGTATTTATTGTTATTAAAAAAAAAAAAAAAAAAACAAACAAAATAAATTCATTAAATTATTATACCTTGAATATAGCGAAGTGTAAAATTAGCTGGTGCTTTTAATGCAACAGATATGATGTAAATTTGATTAGTTACCGAAATGATATCACCTGGTACAGCATTGCAACATTGCCTATAAACATTCTGCACAGATTTATTTTATCATTTTTTTTTTCTTTTTTTGAATTTAAACATTAAATAATTTAATTGGGATAAATTATTGAAATTAAAAATAACCTAAATCCAGTTTGTTCCAGTATTGCTCCACGCTTTATCTCTAAATAATTATCAGCACATGATGAATCACAAACATATGTTGCATCTAATACTTCTAAATGTACTTTTCCATAAGGTGCCTAAAAGAAATTTAATATTACAGCAAATATATTAAATGTAAAATTGAAATGTTAATTTTAATTTAATCAAAATTTTATATTAATTTTGATAAAATTGACATTTATTTGCTAAATATAATACTGAAAAGTTATCAAAATTTAATTTTAATTAAATCAAAATTTTCCTTTTTTGGTCTTTTTTCTTTCTTTTTTTAACTTTTTATCAAACTTACAGTTATTCGCCAAAAGCAACTTCCAACGATGCTATTTTTTAATGTAAGCCATTTATCACCAGCTAACAATTCACCACCACAACCCACTATGCTCAAATAATTATTACAGCAGGTGTATTCATTTAAATATTCACTTAAAAATACGAAACTTATTCAGTACTTTAATTTAAAACCAGCTTTTTATCTGAGAAAATTATCAGAACTACTCAAATATCTAATGTACTATTCTTTTATTATTCATTATATCAATCTTTTAAAACACTGCATATCATATCTCTTTATCGGAATAGCTAAAATGATTTAATCAACTTTTATCAAATAATTCTTTTCTTTTACTTAAAATTTACTAATTATATTTTAGAAAAGAAAAGAAAAAAAAAGGAAGATTTACTCAATAAAATGTAACTTACTGGTGGATCGAGGTATACTTTCACAACGTATACCAGCACTTCCTGTTGGACATTTGCAAATGGCGCAATTTCGTGGATCTTCATAACCACCATTTAAACAGTTCAGTTTCATTTTACATTTATCTTGAATTATCAGCCTTGTTAATTAAAATTAATCACACAAAATGTTTGTAAAAAAAAGAAAAAAAAAACTGAAGTGATATTTTATTTATGATAAAAAAAAGTTAATTATATTGATGAAAACTGTACTGATAATGTATTACTCAAAAAAAAAAAAAAAAAAAAAAAAAAAAAAACAAATGATAAATCTTTTTTGTAGTTTATTATAAAAATAAACAGAGAAAAAGTAGGAACAAAAAAAAAAAAAACATTTTTAGAATAAAACTTTCTCACATCTCTCCTTTTTTTTTTGAATTAACAATAAATTTTTATGTAAATTTTATGATAATTAGAAATTTGAACATTTACCACTACAATACATTTGATTGGCTTCTTTAATATCAATAAATGAAAGGTCATTCCTTTGACCAATTGTATGCTGGAAGCGATGATCTTTTGTTTCAATTGTTACATAGTGATAATCATTTGTAAATGCCTATAAATCAATTATCCTTAATTTGATATTTTTAAAAATTTTGAAAAAAAAAAAAAATCAAAACAAAATGTAAAAAGAATGAAATAATTAGAATATATATTTTTGATAATTTTCAATGCATATTATAAATGAAAGTAAAAATTTTAGTACAAAAAAAAAAGAAATAATTTGAATTAACCTGTGGACCATAATGCATCACAGAACCAAAATCGTACGGTACATCAATAGCTGCAATGTCATTTCTTTTTTCAAAATTTCCTTTGGTACCCGGAAATATATGTTCTTCATTGATATTTATATATCTGAATTTAATTAGCATTTAAATATGACATTGAAATTTTCTAACTTTTTATGGATGTAAAACTTTTGAATAAAACATAAAATTAAATTACATATCACGATCCGGTCGACTTTGCTCATGCCAAAATCCAAGCGCATGTCCGAGCTCATGTGCAACAATACCACCCTATAAAAGAAAATCTTGTATACCGAAAATTTGAAGTTTGTTTCTTCCCTTTCTCTCTCTCTTTCCTTCTTTTATAGTTTTTAATTAATTAAACTTTTATGACTTACACTTTCACAACCGTAACCAATAGAAGTATATTGTTTCCCACCAATTCTACCGACACTCGAATAACATCTATAAAATTAAAAAAAGAAAAAAGAAAACAATTTCGGAATTTCGAATTGTTTTAATTTAATTTATATGAAGGAAAAAAAAAATTCAATTTGAAATATATGAAAAGATTGAAAAATTTTAATCACTTTTAAAAATTTGCTTAATTCTAATTTTTACTGCGAGAATTTGATAAGACATACCCAGCACCTCGAAATATATATACGTAATCTTTTTCATCGGTACGCTCTTTAAAACGTATACACGTTTCACGTTCCCATTTGCTCATTCCATCAAGTATTGTACGTCTCCATTCACCTTAATTTATTACTCTCTAAATTTTCATTTAAACTAACAATTAAATGAAATATATGCTTATTAAGAATATGATTCAACTAAAATTATTTTTGCATTAAAGCAAATAATTTTATATTGTTTCAGTTAAAAGTTTTTTATTTTTCAAAAATATGAAATCTTCATTTCTACTTTAATAATTTAGCATTTGAATTATTTACGATTTGTTTCTTTTAGAAAATATGGGACGGTATGATGTGGCCATCGAAATGTATCACCAACAATCACCTTCCGTTTATTTCGTCGTATTTTTCCTATCTTATCTAGAATTATTGAAACAATGGTTTTAAAAAATAATAAAATTGTGCTTTTTTTTTTTTTTTTTTTTTCAAAAGAATTTCAAATATAAAATTTTTTTCCTCATTAATACTTTTTTTTTACTATCTCATGATATTAAAAAAAGAAATACTTCGTTGAAAATCGCTAATAATATCTCTCATTTGAGGTGTTGTTAAGACGAGATCCGTTTCAAAGACGTCATTAAGAATTCGTTTATTTATCGCATATTCCGTTCGATCTATCACTTTATAATTTATATGTCCCTAAAAAAAAAAAAAAAAAAAAAAAAAAAAAAATTATCATCAAAAAATTTTAGTTTTTCTTATAAAGTTTTTTTAAATAATTAATATAATTAATTAATACTTGATTTCACGGACAATAGAAATAAAATATTTCATTTACTTTTTGTTTATTTATTTTATTTTAATAAAGTAGCAATTTTCACTTTATTGGCAATTGCAAAATTGGAGCGACGTTTTGGTGTAAGTGGTATATCAGCTGTTAAACGAAGAAATCCACGCAATAATTCTTGAGCATTTTCAATATCATCTTTATTCCAACGTTTTCTTAAAAAAAAAAAAAACAAAGGCGAAAACAAAATAAACTCTTTCCTTTTTTTTTTTTTTTTTTTGAAGAAACAGAAATATTTATTTTATTGTTTGTTTTTTTTTTTTTTTTTTTCTTTAACCAATAATGCAAAATATGATTTTAAAAATTGTTTTAGAAAATGTTGCGACAAATCAAAAACCAGTTCCATCATTTTTAATTATTATACAAATTAATGAATGATAAGTAAATTTGCTGAGCATATTCCGGAACAATTTTTAATGAATGAATTATTTCGTCATTGTTTAATTAATCATTAATAAATGTTAACAAACCTTCGTTGAAAACGTATACTATCGTTTCCTGGTAAGACAAAAAAGCTTACAGCCACATTGCAGAAACCAAAAATTGACAATAAAAATTGAATAATTTTGCATAATTTCATTAGTGTATCAACTTGTAAAAAGCTGTACTTTAAATAATTCAGCTAATAAATTCTGTATCAGAGAGAAAAAAAAAATTACTGAAAATTCTGAAAAAAAGGCTAAAATAAGTTGTGTTAATTTAGAAATGACAAATTTTAAATTGGAAAATTAGTTTTAGCTTAATAATAATCCTTAATAAACAGAATTGAAGATGAAATAATAATATAAATCATAATAAATCTTTTAAAATTTTCATTGTCATAAATGACTGCTATCAATCTAAATTAATTAATTTACTATTTGCTTTTGTGAATAATTAATTTACTAGCAGTAATTACAATTTGATAACAGCTAGGATAAATTTTTTTTTAATAAATTTATTTAACTAAAATAAATATGTAATATTTAAAGGTATAATTAATAAGAATTTAAATTTGTCACTTTGGAATTTTTCATCTTCATCCTATGCACTTCCCATTTTGTTCATTGTTAAAATTCGAGAATTAATTTTGATAAAATAAAATTCAAAATACAGCAGTTACATTTTTAATGGATTCGAAATTGAAGAACTTTTTTTCAATCTTTTTTATTTTTTGTTACATTTTTTGAAATTTATACTAATTTTTTCGTTTCCAAAATATGAAAAAAAAAAAAAAAAAAAAACGAAATTTCAATAGTTGCAAAAGTTATGATTATTTTAACCTATCAAACTGCAAAAATTATTACAAACAAATGACTTATTTCATTAATACATCAATTATTTGAGAACCAAAAAAGAAAAAAAAAAAATTAAAGAACAAAAATCCGTTAAATGAATAATTTATTGAAATAAAAAATTGAAAAGACTGATTGTAGCAAAATTTTACCAAATGAATATTCTAAATGATGAAAATTCTTTTGATCAAGACAACTTGTTCATTCTTCAATAACCTGTTCATTCATCTATCGACTACAATTATCCGCTCAACAATTTTCCATATAATATCACACTTTTTCTCTCTCTTTTTTTTCTCTCTTCTTCTTTATCTCTTTTGTCTGAAAATTTTGATGCTTTTTTTTTTTTTTTAATTTTAATTTAACAATTAATTAAACAGATAAAGAAAGAATCATTAAAAATGAAATTAAGCAATATATAGCATTAAAAGATATTTTAAAACAAATTTCACAATTATTTGTGCTTAACATTTTCTTTCTGAGTTTTTTGTTTTGTTTTGTTCCGTATAAAATATAATATTGTAATGATTATCTTAATAAATTACTAGTAACAGTTATTAGCATTAACAATACTAACAACAGCTGTAATGATAATATTCTTATTATTATTATTTCTATTGCTATTACTATCACTATTGTTAACATTATCATTGTTATGGCTGTTATTATTATTAATATCATTATCATCATTATTATCACTATTTTTATTTTCAGTAGTTTCATTAGCACTGATAATAACGATAATAGTAATTATTATTGTAACGTGGTAATGATATAATAATAAAAATAACAATAATAATACATTATAAAGCAAGTTATAAACTTGCAACTTAAGAAATGAAAATTAAATGTAAAATTGCTTGCCGAAAAATGATTTAGTTGACGGCTTATCAGATTAAATGACAATTTATGATAGTGCTTAAATCAATTTACCAAATAAAATTTGTAACTTTTAATACAATATTGTTTATGTTTGACAATAAATTGTGGTAATGATTTCATGATAAAAATTTATAAATATGTAAATAAAATGTATTTATTAAGAAAAAATCAGATTATTTGTGGTTTTTGTCTAATAATTAAAACAAAATTTATACTTTTTCGTATTGCTTATTCAAAAATATTTTATTGATGGATAAATATTAAATGATTACATTTATGATAAGAGTTTAATGAAGCTTTTAAACAGATTGTATATGGCTCATAAAATGTTTGACTAAAATGATTCTTAAATTATTCAAAGAATTCTTGTATTAGCAATTAGCAATTCATTCATAATACTTGCAGCAATCAGCATCATGAAGTATGATTATAATGAATAAAAAAATTTCTACTATTTAAAAAAAAAAAAATTTAGAAATGAAATATGTACAATATAGAAAATGTATAATCAATTTCATTACAACAAACCAAACGAATAAATAAACATAAGTTTATATTTATTTTATTTTTTATTTTTTACATCCAATTAAGGTATTTAATTCTGGTGCAGTACTGTGCAATCTGCAATATTAACATGATCAATCGTTAGAATTAATTTTTTAAATCAACTATTAATTTTTTAACTCCTACGAAATTAAATATTGATTTATTTGAAGTAGTAAATTTGTTTTTGTAAGGTTTTTTCTTTTGTAGAAAATAATAAATTTGTATTAATTACGAATATTCAGTTTGCATGGTAAGTTTGAATAAACGATGCTAAGAAATTTTTGTTTTTGTTTTTTTTGTCTACTGCAGAAATATATTAGAAAAATTGTTAAAAATTTTATTTTCATTTATTTTGCAAAAATTTGATGCTAATTATCAAATTAATTGTTATATTTTGCATTTAAACAGTTTTGATTCAGTTTTGGCTTTTTTTTTCTGATTTTTATGTTTATATTTAATCAAAAAATATTCCAAATTTTACATTACTTTGCAATACTCGTTTAAGACTTACTGCATGCTACTGCTGAAAGTTCAAAATTATGAATTTAGCTCAAACTTGTTGAAATAATCATATACTTCAGATGATTGTACATATAATGCTGATAAGATCAATTATTAAGTTGATAATTTAATTGTAACAGAGTTCATTCTGATATTACTGTTACTTTTATAGTTTTTAATTTATTGTTTTCATAGTAAATTTAATAAAGCGATCAAATACTTGTACACATTTTGTGATTCAGCTTTTGATGATTGTATGATTGATAAGGTGAATAGACAAACTTCATTCAATTAATTTTATTTATGATATCATTAATGATAATTTATGAAAAAGTTTGCAATCATTTTGAGTGTTTTGTTTCAATTTGTTTTGATTGAGAAAATCCTAATAAACCATGATTTTTATACATTTTACTATAATTATTGTCACATTTAAATATCTTGGCTTAACAGGACAACACGAAAATTTTTAAATCGAAAGTAAAGCCGGAAAGTGTATCGACTTCCTCAGTGTAAGATTTCAAAATTAAAAATTTGAAATAGCATTGAATGAAATGACTGAAAACCGAAGCAGCATTTTCCAATTTCTCTTACAATCCTTTCTAACAATCTTGAAAAGAAGAGTGATATATAAATATTCATTAAAATAAATAAGTCAATAAATTTTTTCGTTTTTTTTTTTCATCAGAAAAATGTTTTACATTAAATTTAAATTTAATTTATTAGCAATAATAATTTATTGTCATATATATATATTTTAGTTTTTGAACAAATATTTCATTACAATATTTAAAAACAGAAGGAAATAGCTAAAAACAAAAGAAAGTAATGCTTTTGCTTTAAAAAGTTATACTTCTCTCTTTTTTTTTTTTTTTTATTTTACTTTTTTTTTCTTTCTTTCAATCAAATATTACATAATAAATAGGTAATTTTGATGAAAAAATTTTTCAATAAAATAAAAAAAAAATTGAACAAAAAAAAAAAATGGCTTTATTATTGTACGAAAACAAATGGATCATCCCTTACGATTTTTTTTTTTTGTTATAAGCTTTGCTAAATTTTATAAATGATTTATGAAATTAATCAATAATATAAATATTTAGTAAAGTTATTAATGAGTTACTCATCGACAAGGAAGGATTGCAAGTTGTAAATAACTGACAACAAACAATAGTGATGATAATAATAGTAATAAATAGTAATAACGATAATAATAATAATGATAATGTTGATGATGAATTGGTCTCGTCATAATAGCATACTAATAAATGAGGATAGGTAAGGAGTCATGGTATAAGCTAACCAACCTTCACCTTCCACTTTTCTCTTCTCTTTCATCCTCCGCCCATTTCCATCGTAAATACTTCTAAAAAAAATTCTTTTTTTTTTTTGGTCAATTAGTTAAGAAAATGGAAAAACGAATAGCAATTGGTCATTTCAGAAAAATTTCTTTCAGAAAAGAATTCCTACTATTTTCTTTTCATAATTTTCAGTATTAAATTATCATTTTTCTTTTTATCGTTGTTGTTGTTGTTGAGTGTTTGCATATGACATTTATCGATTGATGATTTAGTGAGATTATTATAATTTGATTTCATTTTTATCCTATTCTAATTCAATTTTAATCTTAAAAATGTCTGTGCAAGATTTGCTATTATTTAATTAATCATTGATTTGAAATTTAAATTTCCCAAAATATCTGTATATCATTAGTTTTTTTTTTTCTTTTCAGAAATAGTAATGGGAAATAAAAATAATAAGCAATATTGATAGTAATTAATAATAATAGTAGCAATAACAATAATAATAGTAATAATAATAATAACCTAAGATTTAGCAAAATTTTAGAAATGTGAAAATTTTGGACGGAATTGCGACAGGTCATATGTAAAATCAGGCTTATTCGCTTTCGTGATATTGAGTCCAGGTGGGAAGTATTAGTATCGGTGCCTTGGGGCAGACTGTCACCGATGGCTAACAATAGTTATTGCCCCCGTCCATGACACCATCCAGCCCATTTACTACCAATATCCTCATTCTCCTTTCCACTTAGTTTGCTTTCCTCTTCTATTTTCCTCCGTACCTCTTTTCCTTGGATTTCTTTCTTCTTTTTTTTTTTTTCCGCTAATCTGTTTATACTTGCAAACATTTATAAAGACTTATTGCTCAATTTACAAATCTATAACAATAAACATTGAACAATTTAGAACTTTCGAAACTTTATAATATCAATGTTAGCTAAATAAGTAAATATTGAAAAATTTTTCTTACAAATTTTCATTCAATATCTAATGAAATTTCTTAATTGAATTATTTATTATTGATTCATTTTCAATTTCTAATTTTTTCCTCGATTTTTAAATGTATTTAGAAGATTACCAAAATTTCGACTATATAATATGGAATGTTATAATTTTATAATTTGTTGATTAAAATAGCTTCAAACTATTCCTGTAAGCATTTTCAGTATTTTCAAATTTGCTTAGTAAAATATAATCATTGATGGAAGGAAGGTAATGCATGACGAAGATTGTCAATTACCAAGCCTTGATTGGTTAACTGATTCCGTAAAACGTAAATCGTCAACACCGCATATTCCTGATCTTCTTATTTCTAATTTTTCACAACAGAAGAAACATTCGGCAGTTCACCAAGATCGAGTAAGTAGTCCTGGTCTTTTCTCTTTTTTTTTTTTTTTCAATCCAACTAGGATATAAAACTTTATCAAGTAATTAATTATTTTCATTCAAATTTGTGTTAATTCATTTTTACTGTGTCAATTAATAATCGAAAATATGAATGAGATAGAAGTTGCTTTTAATGGTAAAAATTATGAGATTACCTATTTTGTTGCTTACAAATTTCAAGATTAATTTTATAGCTTTGCAAGCAATTTATGTTACTAAAAAATTATATAATAATTAATGGTACAATTTCAAGTGCTTTTAAATTAGCTTCTTATATATATATCAAACTTCATTTCACTGATATATCGAACATTTTGATGAAACAAACAAAATAATTAAAAAGTGAGATGATTAAAAGAAATTTTTTTTTAAAAAAAAAAGGAAAAAACAATGAAATTTGCATTATTTGAAAATTTAATTTATTTCGTTTTTTGGATAAAATATCGCAAAATACATATCATTCTACGCTCATAATTATTTAAAAAATTTTCCATACATTTTGAAATTAATCAAATTTAAAATTCTGTAATCTATTTAACAATTATGCTAGCTTTATCATATATTAGCATTATATATATATATATAGTAATGTCCATTAGGAGAGCATTCAGTTTGTATATAACATAAAATTATGCCCTCACACCTTTTCATACCTCAATTAGCGATTACCAAGGAAGCAATATGATACCTTACCTCATAGCTCGCTGTGCTACCTATTTGCTTAATATTATAATCAATATCAATAATCGGAAGTTGTATGCTTTTCCAACCATTTATTCAATTCTTTTTCATCGATCTTTCAATATTTTAGTGCTCAAAATAATTCTTCTCATAAACTATTAATACAATATAAGGAATTAATTAAGTTAAAAATTATTTCAAATTCAATTTTTTTTAAAATTTAAAACCATTTTTTATTTCGTTAATAAAATAAACAAAGATAAAAAGAAAAACGAAAAAGAAAATGTTTAATTCAAAATATTATAAAGCTTTTGAAAAAATTAAAATGTCAAATTGATAAAATTTTAAGAAAAAGAAAAAAAGGAAAAAAAATTTTTTGTTCCACTAATTAAATTAATTAGTTGTATTTATTTGAAAAATTTAATTGTTGATGATATGTTTAGAAAAATGCATTGAATGATGTGGATTTTTCAAAAGAAGCAATAAAACCACCTTATAGTTATGCTGAATTAATAACATTAGCAATGCGTCATCATGGACAAAATAAAGTATTACTTAGTGATATCTATGATTATGTGAGGAAAAATTTTGCATGGTATCGAAAAACAGATGTCACATGGCAGGTAAAAAAAAAGTGAAAAATTATATTTTATTTTAGTATATTATTATTTTAATTTAATTAAAATTAATTTCTTTCGTTTTTTTTTTTTTTTTTTTTTTTTTTGCTTCATTTTAATATTTGATAAAATGATAAAAGATATCAGATAGTGTATTTTCCTAAGAAATATATATATATATATATATATATATATATATGTGTGAAAGTTAAAAGATAAGAAAATGTTAAAAAACGAAGAATAGTTTCAATGATAATAATATTAAAAATAAGTTTTGGTCTTTCTGCTTAAAAATTTATTTTTGAACAATGAAATTCAATAAAATATAAATTAATTTTTATCATATTATTAATGAAACTGGAAAAAAAAAAGGAAATAAATTTAATAATTTTTAGAATTCAATAAGACATAATCTTTCACTAAATAAGCAATTCATTAAATTACCGCGTAAAAAAGGTGAAAAAGGAAAAGGTTCATATTGGATGCTCGATCATAATGCGTATGTATCATTTTTTTTTTTTTTTATTTAATTTTTTTTTCAGTTTTTTTAAAATATTTTCTTCAGTTTTCTTACTTTGCAATTGCAAGTACTTATTAAATGGAATAATTATGTCGGCGAAAAGAGAAATAAAATGAATGGAAAAAAGTAAAAATATAATTAAAAAAAACCAAAAATATCAAAATTTCAAATTTTTGATGGATAAAAAATGATAATTTTCACGTCAAAATTAAATATCAACCATAAAAAATTAAAATTTTTGACAGCTATAGTAATGTTTAATTCTGATTGCTTTTATCGTTTTTTTTTTTTTTTTATTACTTTTTCTCTTATTCATAATATATTCTAAAATATAAATGCTTTAAAAAAATTTATTTTAATTTCTTATTGAAATATTTCAATAAATCCAAATAATTCTTTCTAATAATTAAATGATCAAATATTTCACTCAGCGTAATTTTTTTTTTTTACGGTTTTTTTAAATTAAATTTTTGGATAAATTTTTTATTTTTATTTTTTGCATTAAAAATAAAGCTTAAAAAATTTGATTTTAAGCAAAAAAAAAAATTATTCATTTTCATCAAAATATTTCGATACAGAATTTAAAATAAAAAATTTTCTTCCTTTAGTTATTATTTTAGAATGGATTCATCTGGTTTGAAAATGAAAAAGAATGGATCAATTACACATTGTAAGATGAAAGTTTTGGAGAAAGACTGCAAGCCAACATTAAATCCTGCAGTTCTTTCATATTTAAAAAAGCAAAATGAGTCAAAAAGTTTGTTTTAATTTTATAACCATATTCACTTCCTACATGGATAGAATCAATTAAAACAAATTTCTTTAAGCTGCAATTTGTAAATATTTAAATTTGCGAAAATATTTGATGTAGATAACGTATCATTTAACAAATTCGAAAAATTAAAATCATTTGTTTTTTTTTTTTTATCAAATATTTATCTAAATGTTAAAATAAAAAAAAAAAAAAAAAATGGAATGATTGTTTGAAGTCAATTTTATTTTGCTATTTGCTAATAAATAGCATTCATTTCAGAGCAATCAAATCTGAATAATTTATGCTTAACCAATCATTCGCCACAAATCATGGAAATTGGTGTTGACGAAATATTACATCCTGAAAATGTTGAACTAACACCTGGTTCTTAACTAATTCAATTTCTTTCCTAAAATATTTTCAAATGATTTAAATACTTAAAAGAAAATTTAATAAATGACTGAAAAAAGAATCATTTATCTAGTTTCTTTCCCTCTTTTTTTAATCAGATAAAATGCATTTATATAAAGAAATTATTTCGGCTTTTTTTTTTTTAATGACAAAGTTAAAGCAATGCAATGTTTATGTGTTAATTGCATTTTAATATTTTTGAATTTTTTATCAATTTTATTTTGCTTTAAATATCCAATGAAGCATTTGTTTTTGTTTTTTCCAGCAACTGATGAAAATTTCAATTTTCATTTGTCATCTATTTCACCACCAATAATTTCGAGCTTTACAGAATATGAAAATGATCAGGTTAATGTATTTAATTTTTCAAATGTTCTGTAAAAATTTGAGATAAAAATTTCAACAATAATGAAAAATAATTATTAATGAAATTTTCATCGCAAATTCGTCTAATATTATTTCAAAAATTTCGTATTGTTTTTTGATTGCATGAATTATTCTCTTTCTAAAAGTTTATTTCAATCATGAAAAATAGCAAATACATATGATGATTATGTATACATAATCATCAATTGACATTATCATTATCACTACTACATGATATGATAGCTTTATTAATTAAATACTAAACGGACTTTTTGTTATCTTAATTTAACTCAAATAAATTTAGGAATTATTGCAAGCAGAAGATCCAGGAAATAATTATTATCAATTGCAAACAATAATTGACCATGATAAATCACCAGTATGGTGGCGAAATGAAGAAAATTCATCGTTGCTAAATTCATCCGACTGTATGCTTTCATTAATTAATTAATCAGTTAATTAATTTGAGATCAAAGTTTTTTACTTTTGAAGTAAAAAACTTTGATCTCACTTTTAAAGTTTATTGACAAATATATTTGTCTTATCATCTATCGAGTCAAATATATTTATTTTTTTCCTATTTTGTGAAGGAAAAATTTCTTTGTTTCTTTTTTTTTTCTTTTAAAATTGTTGGAATATTAAAATTTCTATTTTAAAATAACAAAAAATTTTTAGTTGGACAGTCAACACTGCCAAGATTTACCGATGCATTTGCAAATGGTACCTTCGAGAATTCATTAAGTCCAAATATGGACTTAGAAAAACATCCGTGGCAGGAAGTTGATTTAAAAATCACTGATGAATGTTTATTCTTTGATTTGTCTATGTGATAGTTTGGTGCTTCAACTGATAATTTTACAAATATTTTGCATTCAGCTCATTCACTTTTTTTTTCTATTTTTTTTTTTAAATCTAAGCATTGAAATCTTTTTTTTTTCCTTCTTTAACTGATATCAAATTTACGCTAATTATGTAATATATTAAATTTTTAAATGAAATTGAAATTAACAACCTGTTAGATTTGGTTATGATGTTGAAAATTTGAAATATATTAATTTTAATCATTAAAAATCATGCTAAATCATTGTCGAATCGTGTATTCGTCTTTTTTTTTTTTTTTTTTTCTTTAGTAGTATAAACAGTATTAGCAATAAATTGTACTTTTAATACAAATTAAATGTAATAGCAAATTTAAATTGAATAATATGAACAACAAATAATGTGCGACTGTATTAATTTGCTTATTATTTGCTAATTTCGTTTTTTTTTTTTTTTTTTTTCTTTTTTGCTATTGGAATAAATCTGAGCAAAATTATAAATATAATTGCCTTTTCATTTCATGTGCATATATTTCAACATTTATATTACACTTTAATTTCTAATAGTAAAAATCAATTATTTATTGGTAAAATTTTAGTAAGAGTAAATTTGAAGCACTTTGTGATATGTCAACTTTATTCCAATCATTCAACAATAATCCAAAAAATAATAAGTGACTTTAACTTAATGATTTAAAAAAATAATAAATAATTAAAAAAAAAAAAAAGTATGGCCAAAATTTGATGCACATATTATTCATTAATTTAATAAAAAAAAAGAAATGAAAAAATTAAATTAGTATATTTGAAAGCAATATATAAAATTAATTTTGATTTACTACAAATAGCATTTGCACATAATTGATTATTTAATTTTTTAAAATATATTAATAATTTTGTCAAATTTGAAAAATGTTTACAATTATTGAAAAAACAACAACAAATTTTTGCTGATACACACAAGTTAAACAATAATAATTAACATCTTATTGATTATGCAAAATGATAATTGCTACAACAATTACATTAAATATCGACGTATTATGAATTGATCAATTACTTTAATGATTTCAGTTTCATTATTATTTATCAATTTTTTCTTTCTTTGTTCAAATAACAAACTTTCCGAACTTTCCCATACTACTAATTATATATAAACTTTTTCTTCTTAAAAAAAAAAAAAAAAACGAGAGATGAAGTAACAAAATTTTTGATTTTTACTGCAAAAAGAAAAATTTATTTTTTCTTATCTCATTGAAATGACAAATGTTATTGAATATGCCACTCACTTTTTTCCACTTTTTTTTTTGCTAATTTCAAAAACAAAATTTATGCACTTCGTCTACAACACATGTATGCGTGTCTGTTTGTTTGTTTGTTTTTTTATACAGATGAATAAATATAAAAGTACACTCTAAAATGGAATAAACTTATCTAAACAGGTATTCTAATATTTTCATTCAATACTTTTGACATCTACAAACATATATAATTTCAATCGAATAAATAAATCAATTGTGTTATGAAATTTAGGAGAATTTAATTTAATTTGACCTTTAGATCAATTGTTTTGTCTTTTCCAGCATACTTTTGCTGATGATACATTCACTCATTTAAAACAAAAATTATATTTTAAAATGAAATGAATTATTTTTATTTACTAAAATAATTTTTATAAATATACACATATACAATAATTTCTCTTTCTTCTCCTCTTTTTTTTTCCTTTCAATGATTGGAAATTTAAATTTGAATTTATTTGCATGAAATTGAATATTCGATATGCTTTGCTATAATTCAATTACAAAAAAAAGGATAGTAATTACTTTGGTTGTGATTTAATTACAGAAAACGAATAGTAATTATTAATGAATGTATTTTAGAAGGCAAAAATTGCTTTTTTAGCACATTCGAATTCTATCATTAAAATTTTGTTATCAATGAAATTTTTTGCGTAATTTTTTTTCCCATCCTTTCTTCCTTTGTTTTTTTTATTATTATTATCAAAATAATTTACATCAATTTATACTATCATTTTCACTGATTTCAATTAATACCATTTCATTATCAGGTAAAATTTCTCTTCCAATGTAATTTTATCGTAGATTGTTATTCTACTAGATAGTTTTGCCCTATTCTAAAATTTCTTCACAAATCTAATTTTTAATATTTCTCGGTGAAATTTATTTCATTAGCTTAATCTTTAATTTCTTGAAACTACTAATTATATGACTAGTATTTGCGACAATACCATCGAAGAATGCATTATAATTGCATTAATTGATTTATTTAACCAAATCATTTTAAAATAATTATTACTTACAATTAAATCATGATAATGGTTATACTAATCAATGAATATGCTTATAATTATTACTTATATATATATAATTTTCTATGGTGAATGATAATACTAATTAATTAGTAGTAGAAACAGTAAATAATAATAATTTTTAGTAATACTGTTAATACCTACAATATTAACTATAATTTTGAATTTTTATATTTGTAAATAAATATTTATTCATATCATCTTGAAATGTAATAAACCAAAAAAAAAAAAAAAGAGGAAATGAAGTGTTCTTGAACAATCATTTCAGTTCATTATATCTGTTATGGATGGCATAATTATCACAGCAAGTTATAATTACACTTTTTTCTTTCTTTCTCTTTCCCTCCCTCTTTCTCTCCCTCACATTTTCTTTTTTACTTTCCTTCGTCTTTTTTTTTTTTTTGTTTAACAGGAAAAACAATGAAAGTATTATTTCACTTTCACTTATTCACTTATTTTTTATATTTTCTTTTACTCTATGTTGAATATTCACTGAACAAATATTTCATTTCAGTAGTAATAGTGGTAAGAATAATGATAATAATAATTTTTTTTTTAATACTTAAGTTTAATTTAAGAATAAAACATAATACTCTTTTATTTAATTGATGTTATTTTATTACTTATTTCTACTAATACAATAATTAGCATTCCAATTTTTATTTGACACATTCATTAATTTTGTATAATTAAATTGTATGTTAAAACAGATTCATTGTTTTCTTCTCGAATGCTACTTATTTGTTTCTTTAAAATAGAAAATAATTTTAATTTCGTAGCAAACATCAAATATTATAACTAATTCTATATACAATTTGAAATAAATTTTGTAAAATTTTGATATCATTTGTTAAAGTTTCTTATAAATGAAATGGAACTATTTTAATGATATAGAATATAAACGAATGAAAATGTAAAAATTTCTAAATGGATAGCTTTCATAATAAAAAAATTTTAACTTAAAAATTATAAATTATGTTAGCAAAAATTTTTAATTTAAAAAAGAAATTTTTTCTTTTGTATTTTTAATTTTATTCTAAAATATAGGCAGAATTTCATCAAAAAATTTAAATAATGAATGTTATCATAGTGTTAAATTATGCTTAAATTATTGCTTCACATTATTATTTTACCAATTTCCCTTTTTAGTTGCTATTTTCACCAATTGTTGTACCAATCAAAAAAAAAAAAAAAAAAAAAAAAAAAAAAAAGAAAAAAAGAAGGAAAAAGGGAAGAAAAGCAATTAATTTGTTTACTTCAATTCAATTACCTTATTACTACAATTTTTTTTCGACCAGTTCATGATGGAAATTTTTTTCACTTCCAATTATCATTAAAATTCATATTATATGTTAAGAAGACATGAAAGATATGATTGTTGTCACAGATGTAAATTTCACTGAGATTATTTTTTAGCATTTTAAATAAATATCACAATTACAGTTATATATTTGTGTAATATAATAAATTAATTATTCATTCATTTCTTTTCACCATTCAAAAGTATTGAAAAAGTAATGGCGAATTTTGCGAATTTGCTGAAAAATTTTTCAGTTTGATATTTTGCATAATATAGCAGTAATTAAAGTTATACTAATTGGATAGGAATAAAAGTTTGGAATATAAGCAAATGATAAAAAATTGAGTAAACATTTGAAAATGGTTTCAATGGAATTTATTTATCCAATCGAAAAAAATCATAAACACTAAAAAAAAAGATTTGTTCACATTTTATCTACTAATTCTGCTTCTTTTAAAAATTTTTAATTTTCATTTGTTAGTTTTTCCATTTTCTCTTCATTAGGTCTTTACTCCAACTTTTTTTTCTTTTTTCAGCATTTCTAACTTTTTTTCAAAAATGATCGTTGCATTTTTTCAGTATTTCAACTTCATATTTTAAATGTTTTCAAAATTTTCAATCATTTTTATTATTCGTTTTCATTCTTTATTTTTGTGTTTTTCCTTTTTTTTTCTTTTTGCTTTAAATATTCAGATTGTTTTTTTTTTTCTGTTTTTTTTTAATTGCCATTAAGTATATATGGATTATTTTTAAATTTTTCTAAAATCTTATGGTATTCATTTCCAGATGTATGTTTTCTTTTTTTAATTTCCTTTATTAAACAATTCAGTTGTACATTTTAATTTGAAACATTCTAATGAAAAACACTAAAAACTGCAAATTATCTGGCGACGAATTACAGAAACTTTTCAAACTTTTAAATTTTCACGCTACAAAATATTTATTATATTATTATATATTATGCTAATGAATTCTACTTTTTTTACATTTAATCTTTTGTACCAACTATAAAAATTTTAAATTTGCCAACTATGAAATAAAGTTATGTTAAAAATGTACAAAATAAAATTGAAATTAATCATTCAGCTATAATATTGATTTATACCTATTTAAAAAATTCCCGTAATTTTATCAAAACTATGTTTTATTTTTTCTTCCAATTAATTTTTCAAATGTTCCACTTAACGTTATTTTAATTAATATTTATTCATTCAAAAAATAGAAGCAAAATAACACAATTTCCAACAAATTATTTTATTTTTTAACTTATTAATAATCAACAGTAACATTTTTCTGAAAAAAAAACACATTGATATACAAATATTCGATTAATGATTAAAATTCTTTTCAGCTAATTAAATTTGTCGTTTTTTCGTTTTTTAACTTCTTTTTTTTTTGTTTTTTTTAAACAAATTTCTAATTGATATGAAGCGATAGGTGAAACCACCAATGTAATTATGTACAAATTATTGATTTTTTGCTTAAATTTATAAACAAAAGAAAATATATAATCTTCTAAAATTAATATTTAATAAAAAATTAAATGAAATTTTTAAAAATATCATCATTTGGGGTGTAAAAACAAGTGAAGCTTTGAGTGAAAAAGTTATATTATACTCCATTGTACTTTATGAAAATAACAAATATGCCAAAAGTTGTTTTTGTTTTTTTTTTCTTCACTTTTTTTTTTTTTTTGTAAAAAAACCCACCTTTAGATTATTTTGATGTTTATAGGAAAAAGCATTTTTTTAGCAAAATCATTCACTACATTGTTTTTTTGTCGAATAACTTCGTTTTCTTTTTTTTTTTAAAAAAGCATTTTATTTCGATGAATCCATTATTATTGATCTATGCAATTTGTTTCAATCATAATCATAAAGAAAAATGATAGAATTGATTTTGATTAAATTAAAAATGTTAAAAAAAAAAAAATTGTAGGAAAAAACCAAATAATAAATTTAAATCTTATTTTCCAAAAAAAAAAAATTAAAACATTGCATGAATAAAACTTTAACTTTAAAGAAGTAATCTACGTGAACGTGATGGTATTCAACGTAAGTCATTTTGGTCAATTAATATTTCGAACATTACCAACACAATCAAAACGATTTCTGGTGACAGCACCTGCTGTAACAAATGGTATTCAAGTTCGAGAAGCAATACGACAAGCATTAGATGAAGAAATGGCAGCAGATGAACGAGTATTCTTATTAGGTGAAGAAGTAGCACATTATGAAGGTGCTTACAAGGTGTTCCTTTTTTTTTTTTTTTTTTTTTGAATTTTATTTAAATTTTAAATTTGTAGAAAAAAAGGTATAAGAAAACAAAGGAAATTAACATAATTTTATGAGCAAGTGCCGAAAAAATGGACATGCTATAATAATAATTATTGATTTACTTAATTATCCTCCTTTTTTTTTTTTCAAATTTTTTATTGTTTTCCTTTTTTTTTTTTTTTTTTTTTTGATTATTAATTGTTTTTTAATTTTCGTTATTCTTTTCGTCAAATTTTGTTATAAATATTTACATTGTTGAATAAAATAAAATAAAAATTTTTTATTGTTTCATTTTTTCAAAATTTTACAGATCATTAATTAATTCAGTTCATCAAAGAAAAAAAGATTATTTTTAGTAACAAAAATTTTACATTTCTGATTAAATCTGAAATATTTTAATTAACATAGCGTTTCGAAAAATTTTTAATCATGAAATATTTATAGAAATTTTATCAATTATATATATATATTTTTTATAGAAAAAAAAAATTAAAATTAATAATTTAATACAAATTCATTTTTAATATTTATAAATTATTACAGTGTTCAAAAGGTATCATGAAAAAGTATGGTGAGAAACGTTGCTTCGATACACCAATTTCTGAAATGGGTTTTGCTGGAATGGCTGTTGGAGCAGCATTTCTAGGACTACGTCCAATATGTGAAATGATGACATTTAATTTTTCAATGCAGTGTATTGATCACATTATTAATAGCGCAGCTAAAACTTATTATATGTCAGCTGGTCGAGTAAATTTTTTCATTTAAAATTTCAAAAAAAAAAATAATTTTTTCTTATTATTTTTAAAATTTCATTATTAGTAACCCTTTTTTTGCTCTCTCTCCCTCTCTTTTTCTTTCTTTCTTTTAAATAAATTATTTCAAATAGCTATCATTAATATTATTATATATGAAATTTTAAATGTATACATATTTGTTTATCAATTTTTTTTCTCTTGTTTTTTTTTTACCTTTTTAAATTTAAAAATAATTTTTTATCGTTTTTTTTTTGACAAATAAATAGCAAACACTTTTTAATTAATGAATAAAATTTTTGAGAAGAATTTTCTTTATGAAATTAAAATTGTACATTTACACAAATTATTAGGTAAATGTACCAATTGTCTTTCGTGGACCAAATGGGCCGACACCAGGTGTAGCAGCCCAGCATACACAAGATTTTTCATCATGGTTCGCATTCTGTCCTGGTTTAAAAGTTTGTTTTTTTTTTTTCAACATTCAATTTTATTTTAAAAAAATATCATTTTATTTGCTCGTATTTTTTTCTAGCACTTCACAGTTTTTTTTTTTTCTCTCAAAATTTTTAAACATTAGGACAAAATAATTTTGGTGATTGTAAGTATTTCTCTCAGTGCTCATTATTATTTTTTAATTATTTTATTGTAATGTCCAAGAAATTAAAAAAAATTGATTATTGATAGTTTGATTGTTAAATTAATTAAAATATGAGAAATGAGTATGAACATTATTTGACAAGCCTAATATACCAGTATATTCAAATATCATTAAAGCTGCGCAGTTGTCATATTTTTATATATTTACTGCAAGATTTCGTTTTTTTCCCTTTGTTTTTTTTTCCGTTTTTCAGTAGAAATATAATCAATTGTTGTGAACATTTATTTATTTCATCGTTCATAAATAAATTATAGGTTGTGATACCATATAATTCTGAAGATGCAAAAGGACTTTTAAAAGCTGCTATACAAGATGATAACCCAGGTTGGTATTCCGATTGCTTCAAGAAATATAATCAATAATTATGAACATTTATTTGACTGTTCATTTTTTTTTTTTTCGAATTTAGGAATAAATCTGTCAGCTGCTTTCAGTATATTTTCTTTTTAATAAATTTTTAAATAATTTTTCTCAAAAATTTTGTAAAACTGAATTTTTTTTTATTTTATTTATTTTTTATTTTTTTGAAATTATAAGTACTAATTAAAATTTTAATAAATATCTGTTTAGTTGTAATGTTGGAAGATGAACTTTTATATGGGCATACATTCCCGGTATCATCCGAGGTTCTTTCTTCAAACTTTGTAATTCCAATTGGTGAAGCAAAAATTGAAGTGCCAGGCACCGATGTTACAATTGTTTCGTATGGTAAATCGATGGCGCAAGCTTTTGATGGTACCGAAAAGTTAGCTAAGCTAGGTATTCATGCTGAGGTATCATATTAATTCATTTCTTTTTTTTTTTTTTTAAATTCAATACAATATGAAAAAAAAAATTTTTTTTTTCATAAGAATATCATTTTGCCGGTGATCAATCAAAATCAGAAATTTTTGAAATGAAGTGAAAAATGAAAATATTTTAGGTATATTTTAATTAAGCGCAAAATTTTTTTTAGCTAATAAATTTACGAACACTTCGACCATTGGACAGTGAATGCATTAAGAAGTCGGTGAAGAAAACGCATCGATTAATAACTGTTGAAGTTGGCTGGCCATTTTGTAATATTGGCGCTGAAATAAGTGCTCAAGTATATTTTAAAATTTTTAATATTTAAATATTTTGATAATTGAATTACCTGATGAGTGCATTGTTTGATAAAGATCATAATTTCTTCATTGGTGAGAAAAAAAATTTAATAAAAAAATGAATCGATTTCAAAAAAAAAGACAAATTATATCTCAAAAAAAAAAAGATTATTTAAAAATTTTTACAACTCAAAAACTATCCAGCATACTATTATATACAAATATGGCAAAAAAATATTGAAAATGAACCTTAAAAAGAATCATTGGTATGATTAATTCAATAATGCTAATAATCAATAGTAATAGTTATCGTAGTAGTAATGATAAAAATGATTATAATAAATTTGAAATAGTTAAATATAAAATATAAAAGTTTAATATTAATCCAAATTGATATATTTGTATAGTTTTTAGTACATCCCAAAACCAATTATTTTGATTTTAATTAATAAAACTTATATATAGCATATGTATGATTTATCTGTTAGCTACATTATAAAATAAACAATTTATTTCCAGATGGCCGAATCTGATGTATTCGATTCCTTAGATGCACCAATTCAACGTGTAACAGGTGTTGATATTCCAATGCCATATTCAGAAGCTGTTGAAGTATATTCGATGCCAAAAGGTGATCATGTTGTAAAAGCAGCTAAGAAAATTCTAAATATTTCATAAAAACAAAAAACAAAAAGAAGAAATAGTATAATTGCAGATTGAATAAAATATTTCGTATCTTTTTTTTTTAAATGTATTTTAAATTAGTGAAAGTTTAATATTGTGTAAATTAGTTTAAAAGAAAAAAAAAGCTAGTAGTTCTCCACTCCTTTATTTGATTCATTAAATTTTGCCCATTTGTTTAATATATTTGTTTTTTTTCTTCTTTTCCTTTTTGCTTTTCTCTCTTTCTTTCTCTCTCTCTCTCTCTCTCTAAAAAAATCGTATATTTCGAATTATTTTCTGTCTTTTTTTCCTTTTGATTAAAAAAATGAAACTATGATTTTGTTATTTTAAAATAGTAATATCCTAATTATATGTTAGCTTATTTAAAATTTAATTTTCAGATTTCGGATCAGATCAATTAATAATTGATTTAGAAAATTTCCTTTGTTTTTTTTTTCTTCTCTCTCTGCTTTTCATTGTAAGCATTATGGCTTTTACTATTTTCTTTTCCATTTTCTTTTTCCCATAAAAAAAAATTTCTATTGAATGCTTTTATGCACAGCTAAAAGAACAATAAAATGAATATTTGCAATTGAAAATGAGCTAATGAATGATTAATTTCATTTGTTCACAAATAATATAACATAATCATACTAATAATAATATTTCCATTGTCAAAGATTTTTTTAATTTATTTTTCAAATTAAAATTTTTTATAAGATGAAGAAAATGTATGTATGATAAAAAAGGCTTAGTATTCTCAAAACAGAAATTTTTAAAAAAAATAAGAAGGATAGAAAAGAAAATGCTTAATTTTCGTTTATTGTTTAAAAAGAAAAATTAAATCAACCATCATATTTTATGATTTTATATATTACCTTAGTTTAATAACGTATTACATTTAACTAAATAATTTTTAAAGAAATAATTATTGCACAAAAAAAAGTGAAACTCTATACTTACTATTTCTATCAAATAACATGTTTCATGCTGCTGAAACTAACTTTAAAAAGTCATTTAAATGATTATGCTTCAACTATTGATAAAAAGTAGAAAAAAAATCGTTTGTATAATAATTTTACCAACCAGAAATTCTGAATTGAGAAAAAATTGCGAGAAAAAAAAGATACTTCAAGAAATTAGCCAAAATTCATTTTTTTTTTTTTTTTTTAATTAAAAAAGAATAAAAAAATCAATCTAATCCTATACAAATGGTAAAGTTTGTTGTTTATTTTTAATTTTGATGTTATCATCATTTATTTATTATATGTTAGAAAAGCAATTGCTTTTTTTTTTTTTTTTTTCATTTCATCTTTGCTAAAAAAGAAAATGAAAAAATTATGAATGTTATTATTCTCGATGAAGAAATTTGCATAATCTACAAAAATATACTAAATTTTCAAAATGATTGAAAATGCTATCTGTTCTGATCAAAAATAAAAAACAAAAAAAGAAAGGAAAATTAAATGTAACTATCGTATTTTACAATTTTATACATTATCTGTAATAATTTATTATATTCAAACTAAATAACTTTTAAACAACCAATTTTTTCTTCTTTCTATAACATAAACCATTTTTAGAAAAAAAACTGCAAAAAATATTTAGTTTCTTTTTTTTTTTTTGCATATGAAATTAATAATGATACATTTTTAGTTTTCCTTTTTTTTTTTTTTTTTTATTAAAAAAAGGAAAACAAAAAGGTCTTGTAAAAAAATGAAAAATGATTTTTTCTTTTCATTCAGAAAATACGGTGAACAATTTTTTTTTTTTTTTTTGTAACATACAAAAAATGATGAGCACTATATTTTCAAACATCAAAATAGTATTAAAACAAAAGAAAAACACTACATAGTAAAAGGCACATATTCAAAATGGAAGAAAACAAAAAATTAATAAGAAAAAAAAAATGAAATAAAACTATGCAAAAAAAAAAAAGTTAAATCGAACTTTATTAGTTTTCCTTTTCTTTTTTTTTTTGTGATTTTTTCAAATAAATTTTTTTATTGTTTTTGCTTTTTTTTTCCAAAAGAAAAAGAAAAATTATTTTCAAAAAAAAAAAAAAAGGAAGAAAAAACAAGAAACAATTTTATGTGATAAATTTCACCAGACATTCTGATATCATCTACAGTATCACTATCATTATGATCAGATGTAAATGAAAATTATTCTAAATTTTTATTCAAATCTTAAATAGGCGTCTTTTTTTTTCAGATTATAAAAAAAAAAAAAAAAAAGATTTCAGTTTTTTTCTTTCTTCTTTCAAAAAAATGCAATTTTAGCAATAATATTGATTTCGTTCTAAAATACCATCATGGTAAATTTTCATTTATGAGAAACTTATTTATTGAAAATAAGAAATGAAGCTGAATACACCTCAAAATATACAATGAGGATTTTGTTCTGGGCTAGTAATTAACATTTAATAATTTTTTATTGATAGAAAAAAAAAGAAATGATAAGGAATCACTGATCAAGTTCACGTTTCACCTCCACTTTTCTGCGAATTTGTTCAGCAGACATTTGTAGTACCGAGGTAAGATCGCATACAAATCGATACACGTATCGTTTACCGGGTGTTTTATGAATAATATTTTTATCATAATAATACCTTAGACCACGTGAAAGTTTTTCATAATTCATCTACAATATAATAATTTTTAGGATATTATTAAATTTTTTATAATATTTAAAATTACAAATTTAAATTAATTAATTGATGCAATTTTTTGTTTTGTACAACACTTCGTTTTTCTTCGCACTCGTCCACTTTTCTTTTTTTTTTTTTCAAATTTTCTTTTCTTTTGAAAAAAAAAAAAAAAAACAATAATTTAAATAACCTTTGGTTTATTTTTACGAATACCCCATTTACGTGCAACCTCATCAGGATCATTTAATTTAAATTCCCATCCATCACCTGTCCAAGCTATGCAAGAATTTGTAGATTCAGTCATTAGAAGCTCCAACAAAAACTGCCAAAGTTGGATTGGACCTAAATCATATAAATTATCACCGAATAATAATGTATAATAATTATTATTAGTAGTAAGAATACATTTTACTTAAAATGCTTTAGAAAATAATAAACAAAATTTTGGTTTTTACTATCATTATCATTATTTTTTAACGCCAAATTTTTAGACGTATAAACGTGAAAACATTTATGTATTCCATTTTTCATCTATTTCAACGTTAATAAAAAGAAAACAAAAATCATTTCTATCATAGTAATAAAAAAGAAATAAATGGGTAAATAATATTATTTATAAAAGTGAAGAAAAAAAAAAAAAAACATATTTTTATAAAACAAAATTATATTAAAATAATCTATGCATTGATTAAAATAATATTAACATTATCCAAAATTACTACTAAAATTACATTAATCATATGAATTAAACTTTCAAAAATTAATTGAAAAAACATATTTATATCCGAAAAACTTTTAAAAGATAATTTTTTTTAAATAAATAAAAATTAAAAAAAAAAAAACAACGATTTAAAAAAGTACCAGTAAGACCCGGTAATGTTAATGATGACGGCTGGCTATATTCAACATCCGTTTCGGAATTTGGTGACGATGACATGGACTCACTTGGTACGGGATGCTGTACATAAGTTTGCATTGGATATTGTCCATACGGTGAACATCTTTCTGAATTCCATGGTTCATTATGTTGTTGTTGTTGTTGATGTTGATGATGAGTAAACTGTGAAATTAATGAACGATTGTTACATAAACAATTAATATTTGGTGGCATTTGTCGTGACATTGTACCACCACCATTCATTACAATCATTGAATCTTTGTCATCTAAAATAGAACAAAAAATAGTTAAGATAAGATAGAGTTATTCGTTTTTTTTTTCCTTTATTAATTAATCAATTTGAATTTGTTGATGAAATGAAGCAATTGATAAAGAATAATTCATTAAGTAATAACTTAATGATAAGTGAAACAATTTTATTTAAAAAAAAAAAACGAAATGAAAAAAATAAATTTTAATTGCATACTGATATTAAGGGTTGCCGTATGATCTGATAAGTTTAGTTGACATGTGTCATAAAATTCCGTATTAACAGTACTCACTGATGGCATATCATCGAAATCGTTAACCCTGTCTGTTATAGTTGAACCAAAATCTGTAATTCTTATTAAATAATTGTTCGAAGTTGTTAATTTTATTGTGTAAACAAACTTGAAATTTAATATTAATTGAAATTTATTTACATTAGAAAACTAATCTCAAAGTACTATATAAATAAAATTTAATAATTAAAATGTGTCTAAATGATATATTTAATATCGTTAGAAAATGTTGGAAGAATAAATATTTATCATATCAAAATTGTGATGATATTTATCATCATTTGAGAATATTTTAAATATGCAATAATCAAACCGTTTCTCATTTTTTTTTTTTTTTTTTATTTAACCGTTTGAATGATAATCCTAAATATCAGCTGGTTAATACATTTACATTTAAATCTTTTTGATTTTCAAAAAAAAAAAAATAAATAAATATCCAATTACATATTTTTAATACTAAAATCAATGATTGCAGTCGATTGCATTCGAATTCGTTCAAATTAGCATATATAGAAAAAAGTATCAAATAGTAGTATTGAAATTATTTTTTATTGTTAATTAATTATAATACATCTAATTCGCTCTGTTTTGTTAACAAATAATCTAACCTTATTATAACATTTACATTGATAAAATTTTGCAAACTTAATTAAAAATATAAATTTTCTTTTTCTGCATTAGTGCTATATGCATAAAAATTTTAATTTTATGCACTATTATGTTACTTTTAATAGAAATAAAAGATTTTTTCAAAAATTTTAAATATTTTAGTAAAAGAAAGTATGTAATGATAATAACAAAAAAAAAAACGATGAAAAATTTTACAAAAAAATTCATTTCACATTGTTAATTTTGTTTCTTTTCCTTCTAGAATTTCATTTGAACTTATCAAATTTTATTTGAAAGCAAAGTTTAATAAGTTTGAAACTTTTTTATTTTTATTTAAATTTTAACATAGCTATGATTTAAAAAAAGGATATTTTCAAATTTATACCAATTTTTTGCTATTATCAAGAAAAAAAAAAGACTTTCTCTCTTTAGAAATAAATATAAAGTAAACAGAAAGAAATAAAAAAAATAAATAAATAAAAAAAATAGCCGTACAATGTGATATTTGTGCAATGTTTGTTGGCTTTGTGAAGTCGAAATGGAATATTCTATAGTATTGAAAAATTGCATCACACACACACACACATGCACATACATACACATATACTTACATACACGTATAGAAAACGTATGCAAATAACTATTTGATCATGTGGCATCGAGGTTACCGGACAGGTAATTAGGGTTTTGACATTGATTGGGACGCGTGTCCCCTCATTTGAACAATCATTTTCAAGGTTTCACTCTTTTACCTCATTGTTCCATCCGCTCATGCTCATCCCCTTTTCGTGCTTCATTTTATCAAAATCCATTGAAAAATATAGAACAACAGGTCTTTTCTTGGAACCTAACAATCATTATGAGTAATAGCAATCAAAGTCATCCATTTCATATTCTGTCACCATATCTCATTCTTCTTCCACTCAAATATTAATTGAGGTCATCAGTTCAATCTTTGTCATCTTTTTCACTTACCTATATCTTATTAATAACAATAACAACAACAATAACAATAACAATAACAACAACAATAACAATAATAAAAGCAACAAGCATAATAGTAGATGAATCAATTGTCATACAGATCACTCAATTATAAATATTTTCTTATAATTAATATCAATAATTGGAGATATTTTCTTGTAATTAATCTATCAACAATTACAGATATTTTCTTGTAATTATTCTAAAATAATTACCTAAAATTAATTTTTCAATCTATCAATTTTTTAAGCTAAAATTAATTTTTTATTGTTTCGAAAATTTTTTCAAATTTAATTTAATCTATCAAAAAAAAAATATTTTTCTCTCTTTCAAAGTCTGCAACAGCAATAGAAGGAGAGCGAGAGAGAGAAAAAAGAGAGGAAGAGAGAAGGACGGAGAAATAAAAAGAATTTTATTAATTTAAAAAGTTAACATGAAATAGTTCTTTTGTTAATGCAACACATTCTATTCTTACATTTTATTGTCAAAATTTGATAAATTTTTTATGAAGTTTAGGTTATTACCACCACTTTTTCCTCTCTCTCTCTCTTTTTCTTTCTATTTCAATTTTCTAAAAATTTTAGCATTTGAGAAAAAAAAAGTGCTAACAATGTTAATAATTTTGTACCATTTCACTCATTACTTTCTTTCATTCTATCAACTGAATCAAATTAACATATTATTTTATTCATTTGCAAATAAAATTTCAAATTCCAGAATCATTGCTACTATTCAGTGAATTAATTTTAATTTAAAATTATTTATATTTAAATTACTTACCAAAGCGAAATGCTGCTGAGCGATTATCATTGGTAATGGGAACTGCTTTTGGATGATGAAAGAATGTATTAGGTGTATATAATGATGAGTGACCAGGTGATTGTGACCAACATGTAAAATCTCTCCTAAGCATTCCTTTAATTTTCCCTTTTAATAATGCGTTTTACCGAAAAGTTGAAATTCGTTTGATTTTTTTTATCACTTCAGAGTTGCCAAAAAATATAGGGAATACTGAAAAATTTGAATTTTATCAATTAAAAATTGAATAAATTAATTCACAATATGCATTAATCATTCTTTTAGAAGTAAAAAAAAAAAAAAGAAAAAAAATAACAGTTTCAGAGAAAACGAAGAGTTTACATTCACTTTGATTTTTCTTTTAAAAATAGATATTGTAATTTTTATTAAAATAAAAAATCAACGGTGAGTGAAAAAAAAGCGAAAATTTTTAAAGATTGTTATCGAATATTTCTTGCATTTCTGTTTTTTTTGTTTTTATTTTTGGATAAAACCAAATGGAACATTTCAATTAAAATAAGCTTTAATAGAATTTTAAAAATGTTTAGAGCATATCCTACTATTTAAAAAACAAAAACAGCTCCAAAAAAAAAATATTGAAAATAAACCTATTTAAAATCATAAATCTATACTTAAAGCATAATTGATCGTTATATTTCATTATCAAAATTTCAAATGCATGTAACTATTCCACATAATAATTGTCACATAAATTATTTCATAAAAATTTCACATAATAGTACAACTATCAAATTATATAGTTGATAACGATAACAATAATCATAATAATATTAATAATAATAATGCTTATATTGAATTCATTTGCTATCCACTGATTCATGAAACATACCATGCAGCAACTTTTCTAAAAAAAAGAATGAAGGTGAAAAAATTAGCATATAAATCATCAAATAACATTTTTCAAAAAAAAAAAAAAAAATGAATTTTCATAATAATAGTCAAATATTGCCTTCTTTTCAAGAAAGAAAAAAAAATTGAATAATTGGTTTTTTTTTTTTTTTTTTTTTAAACTAACTTTATGCAAAGTAATGAAAATACGGAAATATGGTAAACAAAACGTAATGAAATGGTATGAGTGAGAAAAGTAAACGAATCAATTTGTTCAATTAGCAATCATCCATATCAAAAATTTTTTTAGCTATTTTCAACAATCAATTAAAATGAAACTAGAGAAAAAAAAATGAAAATAAAAAAAGAATCATTTATTCTAAGTTTTTTTTCAATTTGATAAAAATGTTTATGAAATCATTTTCTACAGTGATTAATATTTTTTGAATATTTATTTTAAACCAATAAAGACTTTTTTTAAACTTACATATCAGTTAATAGCTATTATTACAGTTTCACTTAAAATTGATTGGATAAAGCAATCTCTTCTTTCTTTCTTTCGCTCTCTCGTTCTTTCTTCTTTTCTCTCTCCCTTTCTTTCTCTTAGTGTAATAGCAATCATGCATAATTTGTCATACTTTTTGTCTACCGTACGATTTATTATATAATATTATTATCACCAAATGTTAACTGTTTTTTTTTAATTAGATATGAAATCAGTTGATAATTTTATTATCAGCAAATACTAATTAATTATTTCTAACTTTTAAAATTCAAAGCAAATATGAATAGCAAATTGTAGCACAACTAATAAATTAAAAATAATCAAAATGAAAATTTCGATGAAATTAATTGTGTTATATGTTAAACTTAATGTGGGAAATTGCATCAATCAATAAGAAATTGTGTGAGACTTTGAAAAAAAAAAAAAGAAAATAAAGTTTAATACATTGAATATGCTTTTAAATATATATTAGTAACTTTATAAATTTAAGAAATATTTCGTATTCAAAAAAGAAAAAAAACTATAAAATAACTATATAACTATAGAATTATGTGACATAAAAAACTATTGATTGATTAATGTTAAATTTAACTTTTCATACACGTAACTTTAACGTCAAGTGTAGAATTTAGGAATTTAAAAAACTAAAAAGTTTAAGAACCAATTCACGTAATTCTCATGAACTTTAAAAAAAAAAAATTCTTCATCCATAACGACTGTTCATGATGCAAAATTCAATAAAAAAAGTTTCAATATCAGTAAAGAGGAAAGAGGATGGAAGATCGGATGAATAGAGGAAGTGGGAGATGCATTGTGAACAAGGTCACCACTAAAGGTGTCCTTTGGAAAATCACACTTGAAATTACGATAGCTCTATGACTTCGATACTTAGTAAAAAAAAAAAAAAAAACTATAATTCTTTTTTTTTTTTTTTGTGTTTTAGACACTATGGAACAAATTATTTGATAATTTCTAAATTATTTGATAGTTTTTTTCTTTTCTGTTTTTTTTTTTCTTCTTTAACTAATGGAATTTAACAGATTGCATTTCGATAAGGACGCTATTTTGTAATGATAACAGCTTATCAATATTTTTCTTTGCGTTCGAAAAACTGAATTGTTGAAATTACACAAAATTACATCAATCAATGAAACCGTAACTTGTAACAAAATTTAGCAAAAATTTTGTCCATAATAATATATGTATTAGCTAAAAAGAGCAGAAAAGAAAAAAAAAAAGATCCTGTTGGTTTCTTTAAAATGTAAAAAGAAAAAAAAAATGAAAAAAAGGGTTAAAAATGAAACTTTAAAATTCATTTGAATCCAAAAAAAAAAAAAAAAAAAAAAAACGAAAAAGAAAATCAAAGCATAATTATTTGCAATTCCTTTGCATTTTGAATATTATATAACAAAATGATTGCAAGAAATTTCTAAAATTGTAGCAATAAATTAAAATTCATAAAAGGAAATAATGTCAACAAATGTTTACTGAACAGGTAATAAATGTTGAAGCATACAATAGTTGCTTATTTATTAAGTAAAATGTATACAACTATGATTAGGTAAATGTCAAAAACTGGATCAGTAATAAGACATGTCAATACTATGTCAATACGAAAGGAGAAAAAAAATTAGGATTGTTCAATATCACCAACTGATTAATGTTATAATTTTATGTTTATTTTTTTATTATAAAATTACTCAATAAAAATTAATTAATGCAGCAATCGCATTTATTAGACCTACCAAAATTATAAAACAAAAAGTAGAAATGAAAAAGATTCATTATATTAGTTAAAAAGATACAAAGAAAAAAAAAGAAAAAATTACGAAAAGTAAAGATGAAAAAAAAAAAACAGAATTTGTTGTATTTTTAATTATAAGTTAATGGGACATGAAATCAATTATTTATTTATACATGCACATTTCAGATATTTTTAAGATTTATGAAACATTAAATGATAGTGAAAAACATTAGATTTCATGAAACAGTATTATCAAGATAATGATAACATTAGTTTGGTATGATCCAAAGAAAAAATACCATTATCATCTTTTAAGTAATATTATCAGTTATTTAATCTGTAATATTGTGTAAAATATAATCTAATTACCATTTATTACTTTTATTATTGACTGATAATACAGTATTACATTTATATATAATTTTTTTTCCAAAAAAACAAAAAGGAAAAAAAAGGTATTTCCTTATAGAAGTTTATTACAAGAGTGGAACAAACAAATGAATAATTATAAAATATAGATTTTTATAATTTTATAATCCTAATTCCATAATTAAAATCTTATTTGTCATATATAACGAATAAATATAGTCTACCTAACATACACATTATCAATTTGTGAAATTTCAGATATTCTTGCAATTAACGATTTCAAATTCTATGATTAATCCATTCCTTGATCAAACATATTGCTTTGCATTAAATAGCGCAGCAGTGTAAATTTTAACTTTGAAAATATCGAAGTAAACATATGCTAGCTAGTTGACCTCAAAATTGCTTATATCGTTTTTTTTTTTTTTTTTTCTTTCTTTTGAAGATTGTTAAAATAAAACTAAGACATTTTCAACCACTTCCCCATTTGTTGCATTTATCATAAATTATGTTCGGGCACAATTTGATTAACGATTCAACGAATATTCTACCGTAATACAAAATGTTATTTGTTGGAAATTTTTTCTTTCCCAATTTTTTTTTTTCTATCATGAATATTCTAAAAATGCCAAATATTTCTTTCATAAATTGTACTTCAAAAATAAAACTTCAGAAATGTAATAATTTTTACACATATAGAAACAATATAATGTTGCAAAATGATTGTAATGATAATAATGATAATGACGATGATAATAATAGTAATAACAATAATAATCGTGATAATAATAATAATGCTAATAGAACTATGATAAATATAACAATGCCAGTAGTTATAATAATGACGGTAACAATGCTGATAAAAGTAATAATAGTAGTAATAACGGTGATAAGGATGGTGATAACAATGATAATAATAATGATAACAATAGTGATAATAACGTAATAATGTAATTATAATAGTAAAAAATAAAAAATAATAAATATTTAATAATAATAAATAATAATTAAGAATGATAATTTTTATTGCCAATATAGTAACAATAATGATTTCATAAAACGATGATATATTATTTTAATGAAAGTGTTAATTAATTATATTAAATAGTGGACATTAGTATTTGATATGATTTAATATAAATTTAGGATACATGTGACAAATTTTCAATCAATAAAAAAATAATAACTTTCAGATAAGCTTTTTCATAATAAATTTAATCAGCAAAAAAAAATTTTTTTTTTACTAAAAAATTAATGCAATAACATTTATGACTACTTAATGTTCATACAAAAAGAAAAGAATTTATAAATGCTTCAAGACGTTCGAATACTTTCAAATCATCATTACTGACAAAAGTTAGAGTATTGTTTGTACATAGCAGTCGAATTTAATAACAGCCGAAATTCAAATTAAGGCAGTAATGCCTTAATTTGAAGAAAGTGTGAATTTGATTTTGGGTATTTAAAACTATTATCAGCTTTTATCAGAAACTATTATCAAAAGCAATGCATATAACTGCAAGGTATCATTTTCTCTTAAAAGCACATACAATGAAAAGGTGAAAAGGATAAACATAAAGTATTGGAAAATTTTCAAAATAATCAATGTTTAATCAATAGAAAATTTCCATCGTCTTTTCAATTATTC